GCCAGGAGGGGAGTCAGCTCTGTGCAAGGGGAGATGGCAGCAGGACGAGGGAAATGGTTTGGAGCTGAGGGAGGGCAGCTGGAGGTTGGATGTCAGGGGAAGTTGTGTGCTGTGAGAGCGGTGAGGGGCTGGAACAGCTGCCCAGAGAGGCTGTGATGCCCCGTCCATCCGTGGAGGTGTTGGAGGCCAGGTTGGATGGGGCCCTGGGCAGCCTGGGCTGCTGTGCAATGGGGAGGTTGGTGGCCCTGCATTGGTGGGGGGTTGGAGCTTCGTGATCCTTGGGGTCCCTTCCAACCCAACCGTTCTGTGATTCCAGATGAGGACCACTCCAAAACTAGTGTCTCCTATTTTATCACGTTGGTCCGTGGTGAATCAGAGGTGGATGTTGATGGTTTGGCAGTAGAGGTCGAACCGTCCCAGTAATATTCTGTGACATTCCATTGCTGTGTTACAGCTGGCAGCAGAGGGGCAGCCTGATAAGATGGCACCTGACATGGAAGTCTGTATGAAGCAAAGATGTGCCACGAAACAATGGCACCCATGGACATCCATCAACACTTGTGAAGAGTTATGAAGACCACAGGGGATGTGAGCGCAGTGAAGGCTGGGTGGATTTCAGCAGTCAAGATGGTGGCAGTGAGTCACTTCCACTGCTGCACATCGTTAGGAATGCAGCACACAGGTCCTCATTCATTAGCTGGCAAAAATGCATAGCTAATTGTAGTCTCTGTGCTGAAAAATAGTAGTCTGTAGCTGAGGATGTGCTCCATCAAACAGTGTCATTGTGCTTTGTAGCTGTAGTAGTTTTCATGGAAATAATTAGAAGGCATTACTTTTGGAGCAACTACATGCACTGCTACATTCTGTAACCTTTATTAATAAAATACTCAACCTTTTGCAAAAACAATATAGCACATCCTTAATATGTGTCAAAAGAGAACAAACCCAGAATAGTAACAGCTAAATGAAGAATGAAGCTCAGGGAGGAGCTGTTGTAAGCATAAGTGAAAACATCATTTAAAACACATCTGCGATTCAGGAAAAAGCACAAAATTTAAATGAACATTAATTTAGATTTCATAAGTCACAGAGGGACAGTGACAGACACATAGATGAATGACAGACTCATTTATACTGTTATCTGATCCACCTGGTGAACAGGGAATAAGAACTACACATAAACCAGATGAGGTTTAACAGAAGCAAGTGTAGAGTCTTGCATCTGGGGAGGAATAATTGCATGCACCAATACAGGTTGGGGGATGAGCTGCTGGAGAGGAGCTCTGCAGAGAGGGACCTGGGTGTCCTGGTGGACGACAGGTCGGCCATGAGCCAGCAGTGTGCCCTTGTGGCCAAGAGGGCCAATGGCATCCTGGGGTGCATTAAAAAGAGCGTGGCCAGCAGGTCGAGGGAGGTGATCCTCCCCCTCTACTCTGCTCTGGTGAGGCCTCATCTGGAGCACTGCGTCCAGTTCTGGGCTCCCCAGTACAAAAAAGACAAGGATCTCTTGGAAAGAGTCCAGCGGAGGGCCACGAAGATGGTGAGGGGCCTGGAGCATCTCTGCTATGAGGAAAGGCTGAGTGAACTGGGTCTGTTCAGCCTTGAGAAAAGGAGACTGAGAGGGGACCTGATCCAGGTCTATAAATATCTGAGGTGTGGGGGGCAGAATGGCGAGGCCGGACTGTTTTCAGTGGTGAGTGGAGACAGGACAAGGGGAAACGGCTGGAAACTGCAGCATAGGAAGTTCTGCACCAATGTGCGAAGGAACTTCTGTACAGTGAGGTGACGGAGCACTGGAACAGGCTGCCAGGGAGGTGGTGGAGTCTCCTTCTCTGGAGATGTTCAAGACCTGCCTGGATGCCGACCTGTGAGACCTGCTGTAGGGAACTGCTTTGGCAGGGGGGTTGGAGTCAATGAGCTCTGGAGGTCCCTTACAACCCCTACAAATCTGTGATTCTGTGAAACAAAGGCACATTCAGTGAACCTAGAAGAGAAGACAAGGTGCATATTGCATGGAATGGGAAGCAAGAAACTGAGAAAGGTCTTCAGAAACATGGAAGAAACAGCACAGCAAGCTGCCCCACAAAGTAAAAGCTGAAGAGTTTGCACAGCCCCAAGGGCAGGAGCCAACACAGCATGGCAGCAGAGCTAATGCTCACTTTGTAGCAGCACGTACAGCCTGATGTGCTGCAACAGCCCCAGGGACACAGATAAAACACAGGTGTAAGGGTATGACAGGAGGGAGGGAAACAGCAACAGTGTGAACCAAAGTGAACCAACTGAAGCCTCCTGTACTGCCTGTGACCCCACCTGCTGGGCCTGGGTTCGTTAATTTTCTTCACAGAGGCCCGTGGGGCTGTTTGGGCTCGGGCAGGATGGTGCTGACAGCACACGGATGTTTTGGTGTCTGCCAAGCAGTGCCGTGCAGAGACAAGGACCGCTCCGTCCTTGTGCTGCTGTGAGGGGCTGGGGGGCACAGCCAGGAGAGCTGAGCCAGCCTGGTCACAGGGATGTTCCTTCCCTTACGGAGTTGTGCATGGTGATAAAAGCTGGGGGAAAGAAGATGGACATCGAGGGAAGCGATCTGTCCTTCCATAAGGCCTCACGAATGACGAGCCCGCTTTCCTGGAAACGGACGGCCACTGCCTGCCAGCTGGAACTACTAACTGCATTCCTTGTTCTGCTTTGCAGCTTTTGCTCTACCAGTTAAGCTGTCTGTGTCCCAGTCCAAGAGTTCCCATGTTTTTCCCTTTCCAATTCCCATCGTGCTGTAGGGCAGTAAGAGCAGAACTGCATGAGGCGGCGAGTGCCCAAGAAAATACAGACGTCAAACGATACAGATTTTGTCAGCCACAGCCACCCACAGCATGAGCTCTGTGCTTTCTCCAACTGCCCATAGTGGTCACTGCTCCTCTGTGGGCAGAGCCAGCCAGGACGCTGATCCGACTGCACGAAGTTATTTGTATGATCCCAAAGAAGAAAAACATGGGAATAAAAGAAACTGAAGTAGTAACCTGTCCTTTTATACCACTGAAATGGAAAGCTTCACGAAGATCTCAATGACTGATATTTAAAAATGATTCTCTGCTGACCCAGCAGGTACAAGCACAGCTCTTGGCTCTCCACCTGGACATCACCAGTAACAACAAATTCTTCAGTCTCCACAAATTATATGTATTTTGCCAGGGGAAAGTGTTTGCAAATCTTTAATACTCACAAATTCATACACTGTGAACGTTAGGCCCTGCACTTCCTCCACAACACTTTCAATTTCTTTAATACCATTGAAAACACATTTGTAAATTGAAGGCTGTGTGCACATTAAAACTCAAGGTTATAAGTTCTCCCACTTCAGTACAACTGAAAACTATGGGCATGTGGTTGGTAAGCTATATTTTCTTTGCTGCAATTTAGGATCTTGATAGGAGCTGAATCATTTAAACAAATTACTTTTAGAATGCATTTACAGGCAGAGAACAAGACAGCTAAATTTCAGGGTAAAAATAAAAGAAATAAAACTAAAAGATACAATAAAAGAATGGCCCAGGTTGGAAGGGACCTCAAGGATCACGAAGCTCCAACCCCCCACCAATGCAGGGCCACCAACCTCCCCATTGCACAGCAGCCCAGGCTGCCCAGGGCCCCATCCAACCTGGCCTCCAACACCTCCAGGGATGGACGGGGCATCACAGCCTCTCTGGGCAGCTGTTCCAGCCCCTCACCGCTCTCACAGCACACAACTTCCCCTGACATCCAACCAAGCCTTTCTTCTTTGAGCTTAAAACCATTCCCGCTCATCCTATCACTGTATACCTGAGTAAAAAGTTGATTCCCCTCCCGTTTATAATCCCCTAGGTGTTACCTCAAAGAAGCATTTTGCCACATTTGCTGCCTTGCATTCAATGGACCTTGATCCCAACCATACACGAGTAAGAAAATCACAGGCAAGCTTCCAGGGATTAGCAGGTTATTATTCTCTTTGCCTGTACATATAACTTCTTTTGGGATGGACCTGCAGATCTCCTCCTTTTGGTCTGGTCTCTGTTTCTGCCAAGTGGCCCCAATCTTCTACCATTGGATCCCAAATAACAAGAACTACCAAACTGCCCTTCCAATGGACAAACCCTTAATCAGCAACAGCTGTGAGCTGCATTCGGCTGCTCAGTGCCTTAAGGCATAGGCAAACTAAACTGTCCCACAGTCCTCCCTGGACTCAGAATCCCAGAGAAAGTTCAGCTGAACAGAAAGGGACAAAACAGTAACAGAAAACATAATCACAGAGAAGTAAATGGATTGAAAATGTGGCTAGAATAGTGCAGTCCAGTAAAATGGAAAGACTCCTTCCAGAGAAGGTAACGCTGAAACAGCAGACCTACAAATTGTACGATTTGTAAGAATCAGACAAGATTTGTATGATTTTGTAGGATGTAGCCCAAAGTGCTGATTCCATCATGAGCTGAATTGAAAGGCATGTGGAAATCGTTCTGTATTTGCTTTACTTTCCTCTTCTTTTTTTTCATAATTCCACTCCAGGATGGATGCAGTACATTACAGCTCTGTGCTCCACGGAAACCACGCTCAGTAAACCACCACGAGTGTCTCCCTGGACCAGAGCTCCCCAGCTCACCAGCAGCAAAGAGCCACACATTGCAGGCACCAGGCAAAGTCCATAGCAGCGCTGCAGCAGCTGAGCAACATGGTTGTAAACAGGCCAAACCAGACAGTGACAAGCCCAACGTCTCTTAAAACCAAGAAGTTCTAAGCCAGGCTATTTAATTCCAGAGCAAAACAGACTGCATTTTCTCACTTCACCAGTGGCAATTTTACTAGTGAAAAGACCTGTGCAGGCTGTGAAAGACAAAAAGGCACTGAACCTTACAGCCATCCTGCATTGCTGACCGAGAACAGATGCAGCTGGGCACTTAAAGTGGAAGCAACAAGAGCAGAGGAACTAACGTTAGAAACTAGAGACCTGAGAGAGGGGGATTTGAGAACCTTACCGTGGAGATGACCTTCCAACAACAGCACCAGGGAAGCCTAAGAGCAAAGAGTTAAACATGCTAATTTAAACCTGCCGTGAAAAGTAGTGCATCCTACAAATCAATGACTACCACACGAGCTAATTGCAGTTACTCGTAGCAGCTGAACTAATAAACCACCACAAGGAACACTTGCTATCGCTCTCCCCCCACAGGCCTGCTCTTAGCACCACACTGGCTAACATCACTTGTTCTGAGCCAGGCCACCCTGCCGATCGCCCCCTCCCTGGCAGCGCCAGCAGAACCATCAGAGAAAGAGCTGTGCAACCAGAGGGCAGCTGAGGGCAACAGCAGCAAGCAAGCAGTTCAGGGCTCACTTCACAAAATACCAATACTTTCCAGATATCCGAAGCAATATATCTTCCAGTCCCACGCCACAGACACATTCTTCCCAGCTGGAACATGTTGCCTTTTAAAGGACTAACACCTACCTGTGCCAGACTAGGCAGACGGCGAACACCTACAGTCACATGTGTGCAGACCAAGAGGGAGCAACAACCTTATCCACAGCAGGACGGGGCAGGAATCCAGATATTGTATCATGATGAATGAGCAGCAGACATTCTAATTGACCTGAAGCAGGAGTAGCTCTGAGACAGCAGGTGGAGGACACATTTGGATCCAGCTCTGAAAAGAGAAAACAAAATACTGAGTGATAGAAAAGAAGTATACAATATAAATAAAAGCTTTCTAGAACAGACCAACCCATGTGATACTTCATAAGCAGCACAACTTGAAAGGAAGGATGCAACTGACAGTGACTAAAGCCCTCCCTGCACATCCATGTTGCCTGTAAGGTACTTCTGCCCAGGCACTGCACCACACCTGGATAGCTTGTAAGCTGTTCAGCTGTCAGTCTGTAGCCAGCTTGTGACTGAGCAGGTTGGAGATGAGGTGAAGTATACTTCCCTGTAATGTGTCGACATGTTGAGGCTTACGTGGTAAGAATCACAACATGGTAAAGTTTGGAAGACATCCCTGGAATAGGCCTGGTCTAACCAAGAAGATGGGGATGCTCATGAATCTCACATGAATGCTCTCGGTTCTATTTCTGCCATAGGACATCTCCAGTAACTCTGGGGAAAGCAGCCCAGTCTGGGAGCTGCTGACCAACCAGCCTGCTTTCATGCTTCAAAAAAGTACCTCTAAAGGCTCTCGACCTTCCTGGCATTTCCACAGGAACTACTGGCTACCCTGACAGGCTGTCAGTGCTGCAGACAGGAGAATGACTGACCCCACAGACTCAGGGTACAGTCAGGCAGCTTCAGTAGCTGCATGTTCACAATAAGGTCCAGAATCGATGGGCCTGAGGAGGAAAAGGCCGCTCCTTGGAAAGGAACATACGAGAGCATGACTTTGTTTTAACAGCCCTCCACTGCAGGTGATGAAGGGCAGAAGCATTACAGCACAACAAATGTGCACCCACAGCACTCACAGGTGTGAGCTCACACCCAGCCATGCAGTTAGAAGCAGCTGTTCAGAGAACAGGCAGACAAGAAAGGAAACACGAGCATCACGGTGCCAGGCTGGGCAGTCCAGGGCAGCAGCAGAGCAGACAGCCCCAACTGGGCAGTAAGGAGTCTCAGCTCAGCAGGGTTGAAGCAGGGCAAGAACAAAGGGCAGAAAGACTGTGGTGAATTGTGCCAAAATAGAGTTAAAGAAGGATAAGGTCTAGGATAGCAGTGACTGAGCACAACAAAACAATAGAGGCAGTGCAGGTCAGAAGGACTGGGCCAAGCCAGCAAAGAGCCAGAGCACGAGGTACAGAAACAGCACTGCCATGCTGTAGAACAGGAGGTATCAGAGACTGACAGAGCAGCAGCCTCACGCTCACCATGCCCAGGGGCCAGGCTGGGAATTACTCCCCTAGTGCCAACGGGCAGAAATCCTGCTCAGAAAGGAGGTCTGGTTCCTCGTGGCAGTGCCCCTGTGGTGAACAGTTGGGTGTCGACTGCTACTGAGGCAGTACCAAGAAACCGGTTCTTTTCAGAAGGTGCACAACTCCTCCAGGCACGTCGTACTTTGAAGTCATTCTCCAAGAAGGGCGCTGCTGACGCCCACAAGGTTGGAAACGACCTGCAAGATCATCTGGTCCAACCTCCCCCCCATTCCTATCAGTACCACAAGCACTAAACCATCTCTCATAGCTCCTCATCCAGGCGCCTTTTGAACACCACCAGGGACGGCGACTCCACCACCTCCCTGGGCAGCCATTGCAGTGCCTGACCACCCTTTGAGAGAAAAAGTTTCTCCTAATATCAACCTAAACCTCCTCTGGTACAACTTCTGGCCATTTCCTCGGGTCCTACTATTTGCCTGGGAGAAGAGGCCAGACCCTTTTGCACCACAGCCTCCCTTCAGGAAGTTGTATAGTGCAATGAGGTCTGCCCTGAGCTCCTCTTCTCCACACTGAACAATCCCAGCTCCCTCAGCCGCTCCTCATAAGGTTTGTGCTCCAGACCCCTCACCAGTTTCGTTGCCCTTCTCTGGACACGTTCCAAGGCCTCAATGTCTTTCTTGTAGTGAGGGGCCCAAAACTGAACACAGTACTCGAGGTGCGGCCTCACCAGTGCTGAGTACAGGGGGATGATCACCTCCCTGCTCCTGCTGGCCACACTGTTTCTAATGCAGGCCAGGATGCCGTTGGCTCTCTTGACCTTCTCATCCCTCTCACATTTAATCTGCACTGGCCTTTCCCAGCAACTTGACCCCGGGGTCCCTCCGCAGGTGGCGCCGAAAGAGGAACCTCAGGAGAGAGCTCAGGATGCAGAGAACGACAGGGAGGGAGAACCGCCTGCCGAGGCAGCTCGGCAAGGCCTGCGCTGAGAGCAGCGGTCAGACGCGGCGCACTTTGTACTCGGCGAGCACCGGGCGACGCGTCTCCCTCTGCGAACACGGCGGGTGCAGCCCAAAGGCAGCGCCGGAGACGGCCCGCAGCCGGCTGCAGGACAGCACCGGGTGCCTCGGGGCGAGGGGACGGGGATCCTTCCGTCCAGGCGCCGTCAGACGAGCGCTCCACGCCCCCGGGAAGCTCAGCCCACGCGGCAGGAAGGGCCGCCGACGGCTTCTGCAGCCCACACGCGGGGCGGCATCCCGGGACGACGCCCCCCGCTCCGCCCGCCTCAGCGCGACGCGCCGAGCACCGGAGCCGCCGCGGCCCGTCCCGGGGGTGTGGGGCGCGCGCTGAGAAAACGGCGGAGGCCGAACGGGCGGCACGGCGGGGCGGCGCCGCGCCCGCGAGGAACGGCGCGGGGCGATTCCCGGCCGGAGGGCAGCGCCCGGCCGAGGCGTCCCGGGGCGGGGGGCAGCGGGGCGCGGCGCTCACCGTCCCGGCCATTCTCCTCCCGCCGCGCCCGCGCCGCTCTCCCGCTCGCACCGGGGCTGCCGTCCCGGCGCTGAGCGCCTGCGCGACGCTGCGGAAAGCGGCGCAGGGACCGTCTGC